CGAATCACTCAAAAACTTCCATTCATCCGATCCGTCCTGCTATCTCTGTCTCGCTCCTCGAGAATGAGCCGTTAAGACTAAGACGCTCTTTAGCGACCGTCTGATCATTTATCCGTGATTGGGCTGCACGCTGTGCTCACCATTCTTTTGCCCAATATTTTTGCCTATTAAGATTTTTTTGGTTGTTATTCTTTTTTGTATAAAAAGATGAGCGCGTTTTTTTTTAATAAGAGCTCGTTGGCGCCATAGATTTAACAATGCGACATTTACAACTTTTTTGACTCACGAATTCACCAAATCTGTTGTTTTTTTTGTACATTATATTCTTGTGGGTTGTGGTCGTGGCAATCATAACTCTCTAGCTATTTTTATAAAAATAATTTCTACAGTTTAGACAATGGATAAGCTGGTTTAAATCTTACAAAGATATAAATGATAAAGGCTAAAATGTATTTGCAAAGTTTGATTTTTAAACAACCCTTTTAGACTTGTTTAAGTAGAATATAGTATCTATCCATTTCTCAAATTTGGTCAATATAGTCAGACAAAAAACTAAACAAACGTACACACAAGGACAACCCTGTTTTTTCTAACTAAAACGCGACATATCCTTACAACAAATTCCCATTTCCGATCCCAAAACATCCAAAATTCCTCAATAATACCGATTCGGTAAGGAGTGAGGGCTACAATCAGTGGCGGCTCGTGGGCACTAGCGGCAGTGGGACACACTCTGGAAAGGAATACCGGGATTCGTTTTTCACTTAGGAAAACAAGTTCTCCGCTTGATGAAAATTAAATATATGTCAAAATAAATTAAATATTAGGTTTGTTCCAACTTGATACATAACCATTCAGTAACGGTACAGCGCATGCGTATTACACTCCAAGTGTTCCAACTTAATTTGTACGATGTGCGGGTTGATACAGAATTCGTTCCAACTAAAAAATGGATGATTCCGGAATCGTTTCTGTACCGTCATATCGATTCACAAATTTTTGTGGAACTGTTAGAACTGACTTGCGCAAAGCGATCGATATATGTTGATAGAGCCGATAGAGGTTTAGTTTTAGTTAACTTAACCTACAAATTTACAGCGTTTTTATGTTTTGATAGGTAGATAATAACAATATATACATTTTTATTTAGAAAATACTGTTTATAAATCATATTTGGAAAATAAGTAATATAGAAGGAGACGGTGATTTTTTTGATGTTGATGCTAGGATGATTTAGAATTAATGGTAAATTGAGAAAGGATAATAAACAAAATTATTTGAACAGAATATATTCATTATTTACCAATATTTTCCATTGTGCTCTAGAATATAGAATGATACAATAAAAAATCAATAACATCCATAATTATAAAACACAACTAGTTTATTTTTATTTTCTTTTCGAAAAGTTTGGTTACAATTTTCTTCCTCTTCTATTTTATCTATTTATGAACCATCAGCAGTTTTAAAAGCGTTCCAACTCATTTTCGATTCCAAAACCATTCAGAGATGGGCTTGCGCAGTACATCGTTCATAAACTGATGTTGGTATGATACAAGAACGGTACCAAACACCAAGTTGGAACAAACCTATTACAAAATTGAAGACTAACTGCTAGGTACCGTTGCAGTTGTATACTATTTCTTATAGTTGAAGTCCATTCTTCTGGATTTTTGACTAGCGAAGTGATCGATGACCAGATTATTAAAATTTGGAATGGAACGAATAAGTTTTTTTTCGATGGATAACATGGCTAACGCGCACAATCTATCTTGGCACATAGTGTTCCTTAAAAATGTTGTAATACGTTTTATTGTCAAAAAACATCTTTCACTCTTCATTGTGGTCATGGGAATTGTACACAGGATAGTTAGCAGCTCCACAGATTCCGGAAATGTAATTGTCAAATTGTTCTTAAAAAACATTTGTAATAACGGTACGGCCCCATTGTGTTGCACAAAGTCATCTCGGGTGTAAAGTATGGACAGTTCGTTTTTGATTTTTAAGCTGTTTACTTTTGGAAATAAACTACACACAGTTTTAACGTCCTCATTTGGAAAACAACCTCGGTAGTCTTTAAATTTTTCACTACCAAATAAACTTGCATTTGTTAGGTGGTTAGTAAAACTAAAACGTTCATTTACCTGCACTACTATTGTATCACAAATTTCCTTACATATCCTTAAATTAGGAATGGGGTCCTCCTTTTCAACAAACCGTCTCTTCTTGCTTGTACTTGGACCTGATTGGGTGTTGTCGTTTAAGTTTAGTTCTTGTGGGTCTTGTTGTGATTGCTATTCTTCATGAATTAGCGTGTCTATATTATTTCTAATATTTTGAATAGCTGCTGCAAAATTTGATTTGTTTATCTTAACCTTGAGAGTATCGAGCTGTCTACTCTGCAGTTGATCAAAAAGTATATCGCAATTTGGCATTATTTTGCTGAAGAAAAATAACCAGAAATTAAAATCTGTCTTTCAAAATTTATCAACCCTTTAGTCTAATTAATAGTTTTTTTTATCGAATTCTGTGTTCATAATTTCTTCGAGACATTTAATCAAATCCTCTTTATAAACATAAATAGTATTGATACATTTCGATATAAAATTCCATCGTGTAGAAGCATTTTAAAGCATACGACTCTGGAAGAAAAGGTGCTTGGCCATTTAAAATCTCCCAGCGAAAAATTTCTCTTTTATATTTTCAAATTAGAAAAAATATGTATATCTCTATTTGATAGTTTGTCAACTAAGCCTGGAATTTCCAACGCATACCTTTTTGAGATGAGCAAAATAGAATTTGGTCATCCTTGACAACAATTTGCGAAAATGTACACCATTAAATTATTTATAAGACTCAGAATTTTTTATACTCTTAAATATGCAAACAGAGATTTGAAATCCTCTAAAAAGTCAGACAAAACCAAAAGAAAAATTAAAATTTTGTCCCATTTATAAATATTATTGATTTTTTTTTTCATCATATTTTTGACTGCTTTATATAAAAAAAACTAACGTTTTTTCGTAATCACAATAAATAAATTATTATCATGGTCCAACAAACGCGCACCTCATCGCCTTGTGAGGGAGCCGGTAAAGAAGCCGCTGCGTACATTCGTATCTGGTCTAGGTAATCTGTGCCATGGGACAGCGCCCTGCTTGTGACGTATAATCCATCGCATGTGTTCATATCTTACTAAGCGATATTGTCGTTGTCTTTGTTTTTCGCATCATAATAAGAGATAAAACAACAGAGGCACACATTTACTGTGCCCTGTGCCCTTCTTAATTTCTGAATTCCCGGAACGTCCCTCAACGTCCGGTCGTCCAGTGTCGTACCAACACGGTTTGCGCTGAATATTAGATAAAATAATAATAGGCACTGGCTACAATATTTACCAAACTAGAATTCAGGAAAAGGTTTTGTAGGTGGAAGTTTCCACCATAGTCCTAGGGCCCACACGAAAGGACGAAGACCCGGTAGTGTCGAATTATAATACTTTTTTATGACATATTTTAAAACTGTAAATAAAAATTCTTCTAGTCTAGTCTATATGTAGATGAAACAAAACTGTCACCCACGAAGCAGTAAAGGCAGGCACTCCAAAACTTTTTTAGGAAGTTTATATCTTACTCAATTAGAAAAAGAAAATGGGGAAAATCATACTAAAAGCCAATCCAAAAGTGAAATAGTTGACAGAAGTACTTATTTTTCCTTATACTTTAGACTTGAATAAACATAACATAACACAAGTCTAGAATGCAAAAAATGCTATCAAGCCCCCTTTAGTATGTAAAAATATTCACAAAATCTATGGGGTCTAATATAGCTATAGATATTCCAAAAAAAACAACTAGATATTTTAGAACTGATCTTGATCTGAGTTACTGATTACATTTTCTGTTCGTAAGGTAAATCATCATCTTAATTAATTAATTGTGTTGAAACGACACTGCTATGTTTAAATTTGAACTCGCAGCTGAATTATAGGTTAAAATCATCATTATATCTGTTTTTCGTCTGATCGCATATCGCCTGTGTCTTATGTAATAACAAAATTTACAAAAGTTCTTCATAATTTCAAAATTATAGATGCCTTTTTAAAACATAATGGAGATTGCTATCCATTATCAAGATTAAAAAAATAGATATAAATTAGTAATCTTCTGTTTTTCATTTTTAGTAGAAAATTGTATATAAGATGTGTATTTGTTTAGTTCTTTTATTTAACATATTAGTATATACGTTTCATAAAAGATGAGGGAGAATAAAAAAAGGGACGACATTCCATATTTTCCAGTATAAGAATCTGTGACCAAGTACTTAGTTTGGTAATTTGCATCAGTTATCAAAGAATACACCTTCACTTGCTGTGAAACAGATGGGGCTTCTATTATTTAAAAAAAATTTAAACTTTTTGTATTTGTCCCCCATATTTTTATAAATATATAGACTGCACCAGAAGATGGAAATAGATAATGCTTATATTATAAAAAATAAAAACTATTGACCGAATAAACCAAGGAACTCTTTTTGATACAAATAATAGACTTTTTGACTGGTGCTTTCTGTTATATAGTGTATAGTTTTGATATATTTTTATTATAAGTTCCCCAAAAATGCATGTGATTTAATATATAGTCTTCGAATTAAGATTACCATACAAATATTTTATTACAGATAAAATATGAGAAAGTTTCAATTTATTTAAAGCAAACTTTAGATTTATAGAAAGAAAGTTGTTTGTAACTTACATTAAAGCCTGAATACCAATATTTACTTATTTGATCACAGATTTACAGAAATTAAAAGTAGAAATAGAAGAAGTTGCTCATGATTATCTAGTATTTCTTAGTTGTCTCAGTTAAGAGAGTAGATTATTGGATATTGCCATGTTAGTAATATTTTTAAAATTTAATTTAAAATAAATAAAACAATATATTTGATTAAATTCTTTATTTTACAATTATTAAGTAATGCAAATTTCATTACAATTTTCTTCGTCTGGTGAAAACTGTTAAACTTTTTGCTAGTCTACGAAAAGAACACAGTTTTTCGTTTTAAAAAACAATTCTTCGAATATTTGAATTTATTAACTTCTGTCTATCGACGAAAGCAATACAAAATTTATATATTAATTTTAACTGTACAGATATATTTTAAACCTTAAAATAATAATTCATTGCACTAAAAACTATCATTAAAAGTTATGTATAAGTCTACAGAATAAATTTATTTTGAAAATATTTACATAAATTTGACTGGAAAATTCAAAATACTACCAAAAATATGAATTTTTAATTTAACTTCAAAATATAGTTTTTAATTTCGATTAATTATTTTTTGAATTAATGACTACAAAGTTTAGTTAAATATTCACAAAAAAAATATATGTCACATATGAACTAATACAATTGCAGTTTTTAAATTTTGTAGTTTTCAAAACGTTACAAAATCGCCTGAAGCACATTATTTCTCTCCATTTATCCTTACTACAAGTTCTTGTAATGAAAGTCTCACTCTTTAAGGGATCACAAATTGTATTCAATACAATTATTATTAATAGTTTTACATTTCTATATAAAATAAAAAAAGAATACAATTTTCAGACTAGACAATGGTAGTCTTTGCTTATACGCTAACTTGTAATAATATATTTATTAATAAATATTATTAATCCTAAAGATATATTTACAAAAAAACATTTATAAAGGGTAATAAATACTGAAATTTTGAAAAATAACTATGAAGTACTAGTATCTGCTATTGAAACAACTGTATGCTGTGTTGGCTGGGTAGTGTATGCTCCTAAAAAATAAAAAAATCAATTATAAATTATAAATTTAAAAAAATATAAAATTATACAGTGTGTATACTTTTTTATTACTAGTTTATTGAAAAGTTCCAAATAGTCTAGAACCTAAAGTAATCCGATGTCCAATGTCATCTACGAGGTTTGTTGAAAAATATGAACAAGTACCTTGTTATGAAAAAAAATAACAACTATTATCTATTTACAAAAAAAAAAACATTTTTATGACATGCAGATCAAATAGAATTCTCATTTATGTCAAGTATTAAAGATGTTTTTGTATGGTAGATGGATAAAATTAAATATTTTTGACTGTAGTTTTCAATTCTGAATAAAAATTTTCAATTTGTTGAATAAAATTCATATTTTTCGACAAACCTCGTACACGAGAGAAAAAAATTGATATATAATGTTCTATTTTGGGTACTGGACCAAGCAAAAGTTTTTATGAAGAATAACTTTCTGCATAAAACTAATAATAATAAAAAATCTCATATGATGTCAATTTAAGTAGACACACTGTATATATATACTATCTTATATGAAAGTGAGTATTTTAAAAGCATTTTGGTTTTTCAAACAATTAATTAAGTAATTTAAAATTGTTAGATGGCATGCATGTTTAAAAATAAAAACAAAAACAAAATATCTCACTGTCATAAATTTTTTTTTTAAAATGTTTCAATAAATGAGCGAACATGAATCAAGCGTCTATTTAAAATGAGTTAGTTTACAAAATTTTTAGAAACCAGTAAATTATTTTTGGAAAAATTCAACTTCACAATTTTTTGTTCAATATTTTTTTTTTGTTAGAGTAATATCAATTTTATTAATCTAGACATGTAATACACAGAAATTAGTTTAAGTATGGAGTAAAGCAATGATAACCATTGGAAAAATAGTGAAGAAAAGTTCAAAAGAGCAAAATCTATTTTTTTTTTAATTTTTATTGTGTAATTAAAAAAATTTTTGCAGTATACTTTTGTCCAGAATATATTAGATATATTGAACAGTGGTATTGCTATATGTAATCATGTATGAAGCAATGGAACACAAAATCTGTCAAATGTAGACATACTAAGAAAAAGAAAAATATACTGGCTTTTAACAAAAAGGATAGAACACCTTACATCACAATAAAAGCTACAAATATTTTCGGATATTATTGAAATAGTTGCAAGAGTTAAATAAAAAGATTGGAAGATCATAATAAATAATTTTAAAAAGAAAAAGAATACTACAACTATAAATACATTTACCAGATTTTGTAATACTGTAATTAATTTAAATATCATAAATCTTGTGAAAGTAATTTTTCGTAAAATAATTTTCCATAAACCGAGTCCATTCCTGTTAAAAACTGATTAGTAAACGGTGACTGTAATGGGTTTTACAGTAGATGAAATAATTAGTGGTATTAAAAATATAGTGTTAAAAAGATTGTCTTACATTTTTAAAATTAAGACAGGACCGGGTTAGCCCTTTTTCACCAGAGGACCCCTTTACCTCCAATAGCACTGATTACATCTAAAATAATAGGTAAAAATAAGTAATTATGTACAACATTCAGTTAATATAGGTAAACCAAGAGTAATAACCATTTATAAGTATTTACAAAACTAAATTATATTAATTTTAGTACTTATATTAAGTATTCATTAAAATGAAACAAATGTAAATTTTAAATTAAATTGTGACAGTAGAAAAATACATTTTAATATTCAATAACATTTGATGTACCATGTAAAGTCTTTTATGAACAACAGTTCTTAATTTTTGCATGCTAAAGTAACATAACCGGCGTTCCAGAGGCTCAACATGTTTCATGTATATTTCATTTATATTTCATGTATATTTTATGTATATTTCATGTATATTTCATGTATATTTCATGTATATTTCATGTATATTTCATGTATATTTCATGTATATTTCATGTATATTTCATGTATATTTCATGTATATTTCATGTATATTTCATGTATATTTCATGTATATTTCATGTATATTTCATGTATATTTCATGTATATTTCATGTATATTTCATGTATATTTCATTTATATTTCATGTATATTTCATGTATATTTCATGTATATTTCATGTATTTTTCATGTATATTTCATGTATATTTCATGTATATTTCATGTATATTTCATGTATATTTCATGTATATTTCATGTATATTTCATGTATATTTCATGTATATTTCATGTATATTTCATGTATATTTCATGTATATTTCATGTATATTTCATGTATATTTCATGTATATTTCATGTATATTTCATGTATATTTCATGTATATTTCATGTATATTTCATGTATATTTCATGTATATTTCATGTATATTTCATGTATATTTCATGTATATGTACGGGGTGTTAAAAATATAGAGGTAATAGTGTAAACAAATAAATACAAGAAAGTCTTAATAAATCATTACTTTCTTTATTTTGCCTTTTTTAACACCCTGTATAAAACTAACAGTTTTATTAGAAGGTGACTGATATTTTTAAGGCATTTACAAAAAACTTTAAGTTTTATTTAATTTGTTTTGTAAGGTATCCAATAAATAGCAAAATACTTTAAGTTTTATAATATTCCTAAAACGTTTCAGTTACTTTATCTATAAATCTATAAGTGTTGATTACTTAAAGCTTTATATCATTCTAAGAAAACTAATATTTTGCGATATTTAAGGTATTATTAAAAAAGTAACTGATATTTATAAGGGATTTATAAGGAAATTTTTAGTTTTATTGCGATTTTTCCAATTTTATAACAAAATTATGTGTGTTACAAGTTTTGTAAGGCACCCAATAAATAATTTTAAGTTTTATAATATTGAATTTCTATAAATTTGTTACTGTTGATTACTTAAAGTGTTGTCGGATGGTTTATAGAATGACTGATTTTCATTTTCGTTGGCAAATTCAATTTTTTTATTTTTCATTTGAAATTCTCTACATGGAACAAATTTTTATGTTAGAAAATATTTTATTTGAGCTACATAGACCATATTTTCTGTGTGAAGTGTAATATAAAATTATTATTAGGTTTATAATAGCCACATTAGACTCCATTAATGAAGAAGTTTAATTCTGCTCTCAATTATACAAAAGATTCTCCATTATTATTTAATTAAAAAGTTGTACATTATTTTTCATTTTATTTAACCAGTTGATATTTCCCCAAAGAACAGGTCGAACTTTCGGGTACTTGCCTGGAAATACTCATAAAATTTTTAATCCAAAACCCGCGTAAGTATAGCGAACAGACTGTAGATCAATTTAGTTCCAGTTGTATTTCTCAACGAAAACGCTGAGAACAATCATCAAGGAAGGTGCTTCGCTTCCAAACTCTTTAGAAAACGTTTTTGTTACCTCTATAACATCTTTATTTGATTTATGAAGATAATGGCAATCTTTTGGTTACGTTGATAGGTTCTTAGGTTTTATAAAAATGCTAATAGATATGTAAAAATTACCATTATAAGTTGGGATGTTATGATGAATTTGTTTCTGGTATCTTATGGACATTGCAATCTAAAAAATGAAGTGACTACCATAAAGAAATGGTTAAAAAGTGTATTTAAAAAATGGTTTACCAACATTTTAAAAGGAAGCAGCGTTTTAAATTATCACTTGGATTTATAACTTTATAACTAACCAAGATTGTGTTAAACATGTAGAAGAATTATGATAAAACCATATTAATAATAGAGATATTAAAATAAGACAGATATTTAATAAACTTTAAAGCCACGAGCTGTAAGTTAATGAGAAACCGACTAAATAGAAAGAGACAGTACCATCCTGTACAAACGAGAACTACAAAATTGTCTCTTAAATATTATTTTTTTTTGCATGTCATATAAAAGTTGACAAGCCCAGACCATAAGAGCAAAGAGCAGTTTATTATTAGTAATAAACTCGATTCGGCATGGTCTGTTGCTTGTCTATACTAAAATTTATTCTCAAAAAATTTACTGTCTCCAATTATTTGGCAATAGTAGAAACAGTTTTAATTTTCTGTGACGAATTTCCTTCGGTCGACGACAATAGGTGCGAAATAAAAAAAAAATAAATCGGAGCCGTAAAAAGGGTTCCTCGGAAAGCTCTAGAGTCTTTATTTTTGCGCTGATTGACGGACTATATATGCGCTATTGATACCTCTACAAGAACGGTCTGTTTTATAGGTTTTTAACCAGCGGTCATACCATAGTAATATACTTTTCTTCTTTGAAAATGGCATTTAAATATTTAATAGGAATAACCAAAACATATGAATAAAAGATTATCGTCCTTTTAAATTGTATTGCCATAGTAATTATTTTTATCCCTTTTTCCATTCTTCTTTTAATTTTCTATTTATATTTTCCTTTTCTTCTCTTTAAAAAATTTAGTCTAGCTATTTAAAAAAGACGTAATAAGTTTTTCAAGAAGGATAAGATCCTATTTTATTTCATCAAATATTTTATATTGTTGGTGTTATTAAGAGGGAAATAAAATATACCGTTCTTATGTATAGGACTCTAGATAATCAATAATTATATTTGTAAAATAAACATGAAAAGATAAGAAAAACAGTATCGCTATCTACATAACTAATCAGAAAAAGTATTATTGATAAATTTTCTTAATAATGGTTTGGCAGAGAAAGTAAATTCTGATTACAATCCACTGGATTATCAGTTTAAGCCAATGAAATTGCTTTACAAAATGAACTTTCATAAAAAAAATACAAGATGCTGCTAATTTTATTAGGAAAGAAATTAGTGGTTATGAAACTGTTAATGAATTCTAGACTAAAGGATTGATACAAGAGCACTATAGAAATGAAAATTAAATTATTGTACAAATATTTAATAGAGATTTAACGACATAAACACATAAATCAAAACTCTGAAGTCTGTGCCATGATGATGACAAAAGCAGAGGTTGTTTCCCAAACCTTTTAAACTCGAAGATATTACCAAACAGTTAAAACATTTTTTATGTCACGAGGAAGTCGTAAAATTATCGTGAATATCGTGATGATCTGTGGGAGTTTAATTGTTTTTATTTAAAACAACTTTAGGCATAAGGCACATATTAAAAGATTCTACAGGGAATCTAAATATCTTTAGAATTAACTAAGTTTACTATCCTTTATACTTTGTGTAAAGCATAAGGAGCATATCTGATGCAGATGATACTGCTTTCCTTACAGTTGAACAGGATCAAAAAATATATTTATCTGCATTTTTTCCTATTGCTTAACAGCAGTGCCATCAGCAAACATAATGGTTCTGACATTAATCATTTCTGGTATATAGTAGGTAAATAGTAGATTTAGATTATTTGAAAGGAGTTGGTTATTATTAAATAATGTGGAGAAGGACAAATTTTGTCTTTTTTATTAGACTTCCATGCGTCTGGCTTTTCTTCGTCTTATGTCAGAAACTTCAATCTAGCCAGCCCCTTACACTAGCACAATACGTGGATTGATGTTTTCTCTTGTTCTTCTTCACAGAACCGGCACAATGTTGCTTCTTCTGCTGTATTGATAATAGTCATTTGACGTTTCTGATCCAGTAGATATATCGTAAACCGATGGTTCTTCATGAACTGTTTGGCTTGTCTCAATCTTGGATAGTAATTCCACCATTCGCGAGACTCTTTTTGCATTTATCGTTTGATGGATGCCTTAGCAACTCCACAAAAGATTTCGGAGCCTCTCATGGCCTTATCTGAGCCTTCTCGGGCTAGTGAGTCGGCCCTAAAATCCCTCGTTGCGTGGCACCCATGCTAGGGTCACTTTATTTTGACTACTTAGCTCTACCAGGGCTAGGCAGTCTTTTACTAGTCGTGATTTGATGCCTATTGATAGAATTGCCTATAGAGCTATTTGCTATCTTGCTATCTGAGTAGATGGCAATATTTTTGCCCTAAACTTGCTGATTTATTATTTTTCTTGCACAGTGTTGCATGGCTATTAGTTTAGCCTGGAATATTGTTGCATACTCTCCTAGACTCAGTAAAATCGTTGTTTTCCAAAGATTCTAGCACCGGTTCCGTCATTGGTTTTTGAACCGGCTGTATATCAGACGAGTTTAGCCTGTATGAGAGGCCTCTATTTCCAAGATTCTCTAGTATTTGAATTTGAAAAGTTTTTTCTTATTTGTATGTGGTTATAGCTATATCAGTAGGCATTTCTAGAATATTATCATTTTTTACTTGCTGGTATACAGGTCCGACTAGAGGGGGGGTAGCCGGGACTAATTCCCGGGGCCCGGACTCAAATGGGGGCTCGGCAGCGGTATAAAGGGGGCCCGACAACTGAATTTTTTTGTTTTGTATGAGAAATTCGATACAAGACGAGAGGGGGAAGTTTGAAGTTTTGTTTGAAGAGCTGTTTTTTGTCACGGGGTCCGATCTAGAGAATTGTCCTGGGGTCCGGCCTGGCTCTCGGCGACCCTGCTGGTATAACCTCGTATAGTCAGCCTATGTAGTTGGTCTTTTTTGGACAATATTGTAAGTAAATCGTCCACTAGAACTAACCACAGCATTAGGGATAGTATTTCTTCTTATAGCTCGTGTAACTTTTGCCTGTATGTTTGCCTTTCCTAAAGTGGATAAAATGATCCTATACCGTAGGCTGAGATTGATCCATTCATTAGCATTGACTGAGACGTTTATCTGTTCCAGAGCTTTTGTTATTGACCTGGTTGAGGCATTATTGAAAGCTCCTATGATAGCTAAAAAAGTAGCTATTGGTATTTTTTGTCATCTATTGACTTTGAAAGCACCTTGTGTAGATCGACTAGGGCTAGGTCAGAGGATACAAGAGAGGACCAATAAAGCTTCCTTGAGGACTGAGGTACTCCTGCTTTAGTTTGTTCTAATTCAGAGTATACCTTCTTTTATTTTACTCCGTAAAATATATCTGTTATCTACGATTCCAGAAATTGTAAATACTAGTTTGGGAACATTTGTCTCAATTTTATTATAAGTCCTTTACGTCAGATTTTATCGAAAGCCTACACGATGTCGAGGAACAATTCAAATCAGAATACTTTCTCTATTAGATCTTTAATTGATGGCCTTTTATTAGATTTTTCTCTCTATGATCAATTTCCAAAGAGTTTTGATATTACTTATTGCAATGGAGAAATAAGTTTGATTTAGGTTCACTTAGTGGTTGTCCAGGTTTTAGAATCTTAATGAATTAAGTTGATCAAGAAAAATCCCTAATATTTTTTCCCTAATATTTAAAAATTTTTAGAATCATACTCAAAGTAGGTCCCTTCTATTTTTAATAAATAAAATTATATTTCCAAAAAAATATTACATGAACATTTTGATAATGACTGATAAAGATGACTTACTGGGATTTTTCAATTTGTCATTCATCCAGAATGAGTACTAGTTAAATAAAATACACGAATTATTAATAAATGCTTATCAATTTTTTAAGTCAATAGCATAATATCATTTTGTAAATAGGTAAAAAAAATTCTACCGTTTAAAGTGATCTATTATTGTAAATTAATGAATTTTCATGCCTTTACTTTTTCAGTTTTCGATATCATCGATGTCTATGATGTTGCAACATTTATTTCGTTAACTTCTGTATATTTTTCAGTACATTTTTTAGGAGTGGATAAACCTGGGCTGATAAATTATCATAATATCATTTTGATAAAAATATTATTACGAGATATTCTTATTAATCCGTTTTTATTATTTAATCAAAGGTGTTTGAAAAGATTATTTTTAAATGATTTTGTATGACAAAAATTATAAAATTTGACTATTTTAATACATGTAAAAGAATAATCTTAATAAAATATTTTAGAACATTGTAAATAAGAATTGTTTAAATGTACTAAAACTATAATTAAAAAGTAAGTAACGATAAATCAAATATTGTTTACAGTTGTAAAGTCTTTAACTGTAGTAATAAAAGTAACCATAAAATTGCTGGTATTAAATTGACCAGTTTCTATATAGCACACGCAAACTTAACTATTAACGTATTATTGAAGTCTGAGTTTAGCAAAATTCAACCGATATTTTAAAATCGCAATCGAATTTTTATAGATATTGCTTATACAGGGTATAATCAAAAAATTACCAGTGGAATAGAATTCATTTTGACTAGTAAATACCAGAAGTCAGCTCTAGTATACAGCAGTTATTGAGAAGGAGCTTAAATGAATTTCTTATCTATTTAATAAAATTTAGCATCTTGCCTATTCACACCCCACGGAAAAATGGTATCATGACAGACCTCCACAATTACCTTCCATCGCCTTTATATTCTCCAGACCTGGCACCGCTTAATGTTCATTGTTTTTAACCAGCTTTGTTATAAATATCTTTAACTAACTGATTCGGTTGCTACTTGAAAGTGTAAGTTCATTAAACTACAGGAGTATTTTGTTGAATTATGATCATGATTTGAGGAAAAAATCATCTCTTTATTGATAATAATCCTTTAAACAATTCACAAGACATTGTCAATGCATTTGCTACATATTTTCAGTCATCGTACACTAATTCGTCTAAAATTGATATGTCTAAACTAGATAATGTTGTTAATATTAACAGTTGTAATATTCCGCTACTTACAGAAGAAGATGTCATTAAATGTCTTAAACCTAAAAATACTAAAGGGCTAGATGATATTCCGGCATTTTTAATAAGAGATTATGCAAATATTTTAGCTAAGCCTTAACCATGATCTTTAATATGTCCTTACGAGAAGGGAATTTTCCAATTTATTTGAAGATATCTAAAATTTGCCCAATCTTTAAGAAAGGATCCAAATCTATCATATAAAACTACATACCTATATCCATCCTTTGCAATTTTGGAAAAGTTTTCGAAAATGTCATTTATGAAATACTTTTCGCTCATGTACAATCGATTATATCAACGCTATCTACGGCACAGCACGGCTTTTTTCCAGGCAGATCCACAGAGACAAATCTGATGTGCTTTGCATAATATGTTACGGAAAACCTTGATATGGGGTGGCCAGGTTGAAGCTATATATACCGACTTTTTCAAGGCCTTCGATCGCCTCGATCATAGTATACTTTTGGTCAAGCTTTCCATTGTTGGACTCACTATGTCTTTTCTGCGTTTCTTTGAATCATATTTAAGTAATCGTAAATTGAAAGTTGAATACCATGGTTTTCAGTCAATTTTTATAAAAGGTTCTTCCGGTGTCCCTCAAGGTTCAGTTCTAGGACCACTTTTATTTTCCATTTTTGTAAATGACATTACTGAAAACCTATTATGTAATACTCTACTCTATGCCGATGATTTAAAATTGTTTAAATCAATCTCCAGTATTGATGACTGTTTGATTATGCAGGAGAACCTAAATAAATTTAACCTTTGATGTAATTCTAACAACTAACCACTAAACATATCTAAGTGCAATTCTATCAGTTTCACTCGTAAACTAAATCCGATTGAGTATAATTTCACTGTCAACAATATTACCATCGATAAATGTTTTTCTTTTAGAGATCTTGGTGTTCTTTTCGACGCTAAGTTAAACTTTATTGAACATGTCAATACTATTCAGAAAGAAGCATACAGAAATTTGGGTTTTGTTATTCGAAATCGACGCCAGTTCACTGAGCCTAACACTTTAAAAACTATTTTTAACGCTTTTGTACGTAGTAAGTTAGAATAAGCGTCCACTGTTTGGAGTCCTGGATATGAAGTACATAGCCAGGCATTAGAAAAAATTCAGTCAAAATTTGTCAAATATTTGTGGTGCAAGTTAGATGGCGTCTACCCTACTCGCAATATTCTGCAAACCAACTTGCTGAATAGATTTGATATCCTTGAATTACGTACTCGCAGGAAATGTTGTTCCATCTGCATTCTTTACAAATTATTAAATTTTAAAATTGACTGCCCCGAACTACTTCGTCAACTAATGTTTAATGTTCCTAGTATCAGAACTCGCTCCCCTTTGTATTTCTACTCCCATTACAAATATTTTAAATTAATTAAAGAAATAAAACGCTTAGTTCTGGATTGAGTTAATTATCATAAGACGACGTAATTTTTTCTCCTAACGGAGTTTTTTTGCGTTTTCTTATGATGATTAAAACGTTTATTAAACTATTTTTTGTTTATATATATTTATGCTATTATTGATATTTAATATTTTGTTATTATTTTTATGATGTAAATTATACTGCAATTGTAATTATTTTTGTGCCCATCCTGTAATTTGTTTTATACTGTTGGATGGTGTAATCCAAATAAATAAATTAATAAATAAATGTAATGTTTTTTTTAATAATAATAATAATAATAATAATAATATTGTATCATTTTCCGGTTATGTATTAGCAACGCTGGTACCTATTTAGAAATCCAAATATCGAAAACAATAGTATGGTTTCTTTAATTTGTAATTTTCTACTATCACAATATTTTGAAATGATGTTCATTTGATTATTTAGAATTTTCATTTGCCTCTAGATTGTATTAAAAATATTTTTAAAATATTTGAGGGATAGATATTCAACGATTCAAGAAAGATGTCACCACTACAGGGTATAACTGAAACCATTTTAAATGCGTGTAACAAAAAGTATATGAATATCTTTAAAAATATTGAATTTTCTTTCTTTTTTTTAAAGATTAAAGTACAGTGCTAATTTTATTGTTATATGTTGTTTATACATTTATTTAAATAATTAAAAATATACAAAGGACAATGGGCAGAAATGTATGGGAAATTGCCCCACCCCCAATAAGGATAAGTTATATACCAATTGAAAAATATTCACCTTAATTTTTATGCTAAATGACTGTAATTGAATATTTTATTATAACCTTTAATTCAAAATAATTTTATAACATTCTTCTGTACCTATTGTAAAAAATAAAGTACTTTACTCTTAAATAAAATTCATATTTTTTGGCAGTTATATTTCAAGTTTTGAACCATGTAAAACTCAACACCAATTATAAAAAAGTTTTCCATATGGTTTCAACTTAAGTATAACTCGAAACAAACAGACAGTCATAACAAAAACAAATGTTCTCCTTACCGATATATGGGGCAAAACTGCCAATTCTACTTTCCAAAGTTCATCAAACCAATTTAATAGTTATATTTAAACCTATTTATAAACAATTTTTATCAACAAAATTAGCACTGTTTAATCAATTTTCTCTATATGTACTTTAATCTTAAAATATAATTAAATTGATATAAAAATTAATTTTATAATTGTAACAATGTTTACTTTATACAACCGGAGCCAGAAATAAAATTACACGGTTAGTTAAAACCATTTAGTTTTTAGAAAGATTGATACTGAATGAATTAAAAAAAATCTAAAAAATGAAATCCTTACCGGTGCTGTTTGAGATTATCTTGCCTCTTGAAGCTTTTCCCGCAAATCTCGCAACTAAAAGTGACCTCTGGACTCTTGTGCGTCCTCTCGTGGATCATGAGGTTATATGGCTTGGTGAACCTCCTCTGGCAGTACTTGCACACGAACTCGCATTTAGACCTCATCTTCCTTCTGAACTGGCCACCGCTCACGTCGTTGTCAATCTGCATTATCGCAAACATCTTGGCACTTTATCTTTATAACCACCCACTTAATTATAGTGATAAAATCAAAATATCTCGGGTTATCTCTCGGTAAAAGATGATCCGGCTAGGATGTGATTCACGTAATCGGTTTTTTGGATTTCAGTGCGTTATTTGTTTTATTATTAATTGATTGAACAATAGGAAATACTGCAATTCAATTGTTTAGAGTAGATAAAGCGAATGCATAGTAAGTTGCACGATGACTGGGCGTGGGAGTATATATGCGATGTCTCAATCTGTAAAAGAAAGTTATTATTATTAATGCGATGTGAGTCAGGTAGGTTCTAATGTAGATTTTAAAGATTGTCTTATGGCTTATAGAGTGACCAATATTATTTAAAATTAAACAATATGAAGCACAGAGTATTCTTTTTTTTATTAAAAAATTATACCAAACAAACACATAATAATATCAGTAGCTAGTATGGATATTGTATAGTATGGATAGGTGTATTGTACGTAGGTATTTTAAACTCTTTCCTAATAAGTTTAAATGAGACAAAGCTTGTAATTATATGATACTTTCTGATAAATTTATTTTGATTGGTTTCCAAAAATTTGTTTTAAATTTTGTTGTATAGTTCTATTTAGAAAATGCATATTCTAATTTGCCACGAATGAAAAGAAAACAATAATAATTAAGTATGTCTTTGAAAAGTTCAAAAAACATCAAATTTAAAATTATTTTGAAAAACTATATCCAAATCTACCATGTTTGCCACTAACCCTAGTTGGTCTAAGATCCGAAGTAAGGTCGTCCTTCACCCATATGTTTAATAGATGAAAGTTTCTTTTTATTAAATAAATTGTGACTATAAATGTACCGCAAATGGGTTGCCTAAGAAAATACGGTCCATACTATTTATTTCCTTAAGATAAAAAAAAAACGACACCCTGTACCCAGACAGCACACCAAATCCTTTGGATATCTACTGGACATCCCAATATCCACTGAATGTCCAGTCCATGGTGGATATCTATTTTATATCCATAAGATGTAATTTATAGACATACAAATGTCCATAAATAATAGTAATTATATAGCAAATTATTAAAAAATTACGCTATTGTGCTCGCCATTGTGGCTAATAGTACCGTTCAGATATTTAAAATTAATTTTTTTAAGGTGTATTCAATATCCCATGGACATCCACTAAATATATCAAAGTCTAGGCGCGAACGCAAACCATCATGGATATCCACTAGATATAATTTTTGATTTTGCTTACTAAGTATAGATGGCGATACCACTTTCGCATCTACTCATGCTCAACGCGCTGTAATTGAGTTCGATCGAAATTTGTATACAATCAGACTCCGTTAGAGACTGGAGTCGAGAATTTCCAATTATTGATGAAGAGTCCTAATAAGGATGACTTTCTCCTTAGTGGGCAAAATCAAAGGCAGAGTGTTGAAAATATTTTGAGTGTTGAATTGAAAAAATTGTTTATCTCTGCTATTTTCTTTCGACGTTATTCAATAATCATAGGTTACTTATGAACCTCTACTAAAGATACCTAGAAAATATTTTGCTGAATATCCAAACTCTTTTATATCCTGGGATATAGACGGACATTTGGTTGGATATCCATATTGGATATCCACAAAATATGTTCTGTGGATATCTCTGGGATTTCTTGTATTGTCTGGAAGATACCCATTAGATATTTTGCTGGATATCTATAGGATATCTTCTATATTCTGGATATAGACGGACATTTGGATATCCATATTATAGATCCACGGAATATTTCTGATATTCTGTGGATATCTCTGGTATTTGGTGTGTTGTCCCCAAATGCTTCGACTATGCCCAAACTTTAATCTGCTCACTGCAGGATGGATTAAAGCTTAAGTTTAAAAGTTGGTGTTTTTTTTTTCATCCGTTTTTGAGTTCTTCAAAATTCGAAATTTGCACTTTTCCTCAAATATCTCGAATTAGGTCCATTTTAGGGAAATCATGTATAGGGATAAAAGAATCATAAGCAACTTTTATCATGATTCCTATACTTTCCTTATCTGTACACAGAAAGGAAAGTAAAAAATGACCGTGACTCTATTTTCTTAGACAACCCATTTCCTGTATATTTAAAAACATGTTTTATTTGATAAAAAAAAAACTTTTATCCATTAAACAGATGGGTGAAGGTCGATCTTACTTACGATTCTTGGACTAAGTGTAAATAAAATATTAAGGATAACAAATTTTACACAATTGCATTTGGAAAGATTAAAAAGTAATTTATTTTCTAATGACCAATCCAAAATAGTCCTTTTTTTAAGATTTTTAGATCATCTACATACATGAGGCAATCGTATATAATACGTAGAGGGAATTCATTAACAAATATTAAGAGGACCTAAATTTGTGCACTGAGGAATCCCAGAGCTTGTAAGAATTGTATAAAATACTTCACCGCTATTTCAGATAAGGAAAAATTGATTAGGTGATCGTGGATACCATACTATTTCACTTTATCTAAAATAAAATTGTGATTTACCTTATTGAAAACTTTCTAGAAATCAGTCTTATTCACAAGAATTAACACATTTGGATATTTTATTACCAAAAGTTAATAAAGTTGTAAAATTACACTACTTTACACTATATTAAGAACAATAAAATATCTATAGTCATTTTAATTGGAAAATAATGTTAAATCCTACTTCACAGTAGGTGGTATTTATTAAAAATTTAAATTTATTAATTTAAATAAATGCTATAATTGGATAATTGAACGATTACTAAGTGAATTGGTGCTCAAACTCAATGACGTATTTACATCTACATCCTTGTTCATGGTTTATATTCGATTTTTGATCATATTCTTAAATCATTCTAATATATTAGTGATTACACGTATAGATGAAGTTATAATATATATCAACCAGCTTAGTTTAGAGTTTTCTTACTGATTTTTCTTGGTCCTGATCAACTGCAAGGAGAGCAGTATCATCAGCGAATTTAGCTACAGTTATACTTTCCAGAATTGGCAAGTCACTAGTGTATAAACATTTTCTTGAGGCCGTCGAGCTCTTATTTCTTTTTAATTAGACTATTCCTTCTATGGACTTGTGATTTATGTGAATATGGAATAATTTTAACGCATCCCTCGTATCATATGTTTTGTTACCTGGGAGGTCAGTAAACACGAATAAGAAGAAGAAAAACGCGAATAATTTGCATATAATAATTACTTATCATTATCGACAAAGTCGTGACTATCAGTAGACACACAGAAATTGGTTAAAATAGGTAAGTAAGCACTTAAGTAAAGTAAATAAAAAATTATCGAGAAAACGACAAAAAAGCACGTTGTATACCCAATAGGAATGTTGTCACTGGCTGAAATGTTTTTCACATATTTAACGTTTTTACTATTTTGACAAATACTGGCATTGGTTGCAAAGTAATTAACAATATTTATCATTTGCTATGGTCGTTCTTAATTCTATGCAAAGATAATGAAGAAATTAAATTGACTGTATATTTCCCTGCAACATTAGCCTTCTACTATTAATTAATTGTATACCAGGTATTTTATTTGATGTACACTTTTGATATTTTTTTATTTTAAAAGCTTTGAATATTTTGTAAGATATATTTATTTTATTTGCACAGATTTGTTTCTTATTTTTATGTGTTTCCTAATTTTAATACTACAAATATATCTGAATTTTAATTATTACACTTAATAAATAAAATATTGCTATAGAACTCATACAATGATAACTACAAAAATTGCAGAATTAACGCTTAAAAATATTTTCCAAACTTGCAGATTATAGAGAAAACATGTGTAAAGTAGAATTTTCGAAATATAAGTTAATTTTAATTTTTACCCAATATTATCTCAAGAAAATTAACAAAACAGTAAAACCATTCGAATTTAAATCTAAAAATTTAAAAATTAAAAGATTTAGACATTTGGAAAGAATTTTGGTTTGCCATGGTGACGCTAGAAAAAACAGGCATTCCGTTAATTAAAAAAAAACATATTGGGGTCTATTCTGTAACAATTTTTTTATATTTAACGACCTTTAAAAATATGTTTTCTTCATTAATTCTGTCATTATTTAAACGGATCTTTAAAATACATTAGAGGACTATCTTAAAGAAATCTGTTTAAATAATGACAGAAGTAAATTAACGAATACGAAAATGTTTTTAAAGGCCGCCAATATTTTTAAAGGCCGTTAAATATAAAGGAATTGTTATAGAATAGACCCCATAATGTGTTAATTTTTCTTTAAAATTGTATCATTACAATAAAATGTTTTGACCTAATACTTTAATTAAAAATTAATATTGTAAAGAGAAAATTTTTCGAAAAGTCATTTCATTTTTATCTTTACAGAATATTATTGCAAAAAAATTAAAAATAAAAAAGATTGAGTGTTGTTTTTTAACCTCTGAATAAAGTTGAAAGAAAGTACTTGATTAATCTATATGTTCGTTACTTTGTGTAAAATCAGCCTTTAAATAAATAAATTAAAAAAAAAGATAATTCATACCCACACTTATTATTAAACTGACTTGTAAGTTAATAAATCAAACTCAAAATTACCAAAAAATCCTGTTATAAATATGGTCATAGAAAAAATAAATAGTAAAAAATGTATTAAAGAAGACCTAAAAGCAAAATTAAATCTTTTATTTCCTTCTGATGTTTTAATTGAAAATAAATTGCAAAAATGATTGTAGATATTATTAGTATTTTTTATAATAAATTTGTAAAAATTAATTCTAAAAAATGAATAAATATTTCAAAATTTCCGAACTTACATATCAACAGAATATTATCCAAATAAAACAATCAGATTATTCACAAATGACACTAAGATCCATAACATGAAGCCCAGCACCTCTTCACCCACTCACCAAGAGCACAGTGTTATATCGCGAAGTCGCAGGAGATGTTACAAAAGTGGCGCCTATATCAATATAAGTGGATTTTGCCACCGATTGCAGGAATCCGCATAGAGTGAAAGGAGCTGCCTCGCTGAGGCTGCTAGCTGATGCTTCCCTTCTACTCTTCCTTCGCACAATCGTGCGAAACACTTGTTACAGTCATTTGTTTCTCATGTAAATCAATTTTTTGATTGCATCGCATCAGCACGGCGATGATTTAATGAGTGACAAACGGTTTTTTTAATATGCAGTGTATTTTATAAACCTAATTAGAATATTAAAAATACTATTTTGAGTCGAACGCTTTAATTACGGAGAAAATAC